GCCTCATCTTTCTTCCATGGAGCAGCTGGTAGTTTCAAACTGCTGATGTTGAGGTTAGCAGCCCAATTCGTAACCACTACGTTGCTGCCAGAGCTCCTTTCATATAGGCTCTTAATATTTGCCAAGTGCTGTAAGGGAGTCCTGATGTGGTTCTTGTGGGTTAATGTGCTGGACTGCAAAGTTAGTTTGACCAGAAAGGTCGGCAGTTCAAGCTCACCAGCTGATCCTTGAAAACCCAGTACCGGATCACTATGAATTGGAATTGACTGGACAGCACTTAACAACAAGAAGTGCTGTGAGGCAGGGAGTAGGGAACCTTTTTCTGCCAAAATCTATTGCATCATTCATGGGCCATACAAAATTGCCAACTTAAAAATTATCCTGCAATATTTGGTCAAACATTTCATTAACTCTCCCCGAATGTGATAGCTGGAGTCCTGGTGTGGTGCTGTGGGTTTATGCACCAGACTGCAAAGTTTTTTGAACTGCAAGGTTGGCAGTTCAAGTTTGCCAGCTGCTCCTCGGAAACCCTATACAGGAAACCCTATGGGTCGCAACCGACTCGACGGCACTTCACAACAACAAAACAATGTGATAGCTGGAACTGTGGTTGCCTTGGTAGGGCCAGACCAAATGATTTCATGCACCTTATGTGGCCTGAGGGCCGGACACGTACCCCACCCCTGCATTAAACGGTTTCCAAGGAGTGGCTAGCAGTCCAGTGCTTATCCTACACCAAGACTCTACTTTTTATATTGTTGTTGTTGTGAAGTGCCGTCGAGTCGGTTCCGACCCATAGCGACCCTGTACAGGGTTTCCAAGGGTGTAAATCTTTACGGGAGTAGAAAGCCTCTTCTTTCTCCCACGGAGCGGCTGGTAGTTTCGAACTGCTGACCTTAAGGTTCGCAGCCCGATTCGTAACCACTACGCTACCAGAGCTCCTTAGGTACTCTAAAACTCTCCCAGACTCACCTACTAGTCAATTCCAAAACTACGTCCACATTTTAGATATGTTAGAGCAAGCAGCATGCTACTCTTGGTACCAAATCCTGTCTTAGTTATCTAGTGCTACCATCACAGAAATACCACAAATGAGTGACTTTAACAAAAATAAATATATTTTCTCACAGTTTTGGAGGCTAGAAGTCTGAATTCAGGTGCCAGCTCTAGGGGAAGACTTCCTTTCTCTGTTGGCTTTAGAGAAGGTCCTTCCTTGATTCTGTGAACTTCTGCACCTGGGAGATCTCCTTGTGTCTTGGCATCTCTTGTCTCCCATCTCTGTTTGCTCCTTGCTTTTTAAATATCTTTTATGTTTCACAGGAGATAAAATCAAGATAATGTCCTGTACTAATCCTGCCTCATTAACATAACAAAGGCAACCCATTCCCAAAGGGGATTATAACCACAGGTGTGGTGGTGGTGGTGGTGGTGGTGATGGTGATGGTGGTGGAGGCGGTTGTGTACCATCGAGTCAGTTCCAACTCATAGTAACTCTGTATAGAGGTCTGAGGCTATAAATCTTTATGGGAGCAGAAAGCCTCATATTTCTCCTGTGGAGCGACTGGTAGATTTGAACTTCTTCCTTGCCGTAAGCATTCATAATTCACTAAACTACCAGGGCTAAACACAGGCATAGAGGTTAGGATTACAACACACTTTTTTTTTTTAATCCATAATACAATTTAGTCTATAACACGTAGAAAATGAAGTTTTAACAGCAGAAATTGGTCAATAATAGGGTGGCTTCACCTAGGGTAATTAGGCCCCACCCTGGAGTGTCCAAGCAGGTGAGCAACTCTAGAGCTCATTAGACTCTTGGTTACAAGGCTTCTTCAGGCCACCTTAAGGAAAGAGGGTCTTTCCAGAAGGTGAGTGAGGCCCTCAGACTGGCCGCATCCCCCATGGGCTATTTGGTCCCTTTTACTGGCTCATGCTCTCCCTCTGCTGTCAGGACAAAGCCAGCTCAGGTTTCAGCACCATCACACTGTTTGCAGGGACCCTTCCTGGCCCCAACACCATTCCCAGCTTGTCTCTGGGCAGCAGCTTTTGAGAGTCAGTTCACAGTGCAGGCTATCTAGACATTAGGAAACTGAGGCTCCGAGGGGAAGCAACTTGCTTTCTCTTGTAGACACCACCACGTTGGATCCCATGCCTTCTGAGATCCTGACTGACTAGATGGAAATGGAACCTTGTAGTTTGAAGTAACTGGATAGCCTGTAACTTTTCAGGAGCACATCCTGTGCATCAAGACAAGTCGGCCCCAGTGAGACTGCATGTGTGCCAGACCTCCAGTGTCTTCCTTCTCACCGTTTCTAGGTGGATTAAGCTATTTGGCCATTCGAAGAGAAGTCATTCAAATGCTCTATTTCTTCAAAAAAGTTTCCAACTTCAGTTTTTTAAGTTAAAATGGATTTTTTACTTTACAGGTACATTTTAAAGTAGGAGTGGTGGGTTTTTATTTGTTTCTGAGAAGGTTTTGACAAATGAGTAGAGTAGTTTGAAATCAGTGAGTGAGGTCTTAGAATCCAGGAACTATGGTAGTTTGTTTTGTACCTTACTGAAATTCCGGTTTGAGGTTTGACACTGGGGCTTTGAAACTGCCAAAGCTGCTATCTGGCATCAGTTATAAGAACACTCAATTTTAGTAAGTTTCTCTATGTAACTGCAATTGGAAAAATGGGTATTTCTAAGCTCCTGAAGTCAGATTTTATCAACAAAGACAGACATGGGATTGAGGTGTCAAATGGGCCTGTATTTCATTTTTGGAAACTGGTCATCCAAGCATTTCCCTTCATAAGCCTCGGTTTGCTCATCTGTGCATTGGATCAGATGTTATCTGCATCTGGGTTTGCTCATCTGTGCATTGGATCAGATGTTATCTGCATCTGGGTTTGCTCATCTGTGCATTGGATCAGATGTTATCTGCATCTGCAGCGGAGGCTGTAATTTCCTGTTGACTCAGTGTGGGCACCCTCTTTTGTTTTGTTAACTAGGAGGTTCATCCCAACCTGATCTGTTGCATCAGTGGCCACTTTGTAGGTGGTGAGAGGCAGCATGGCCCATGTGTGGGCCTTTGGTTTCCATTCTGTTGCCTGCTTATTTGTGGGTTGCTTGGAAACAACCTTTGTAAATTACCTGACCTAAAGGCTTCGGCTTTCCTTCTCTCCCACCAGGGATGGAAGGGAATGAAGTGTCCCCACCTCCTGGTTCTACCTCTAGATTGTGAGAGGGGCAGCAGTTCAAGAGGAGGATGGTCTGTGTCAGTGTGTCAAGTAGGGCGGGTTGCCCCAGGCTGTAGCCACTCCTTAGCTCTTCAGCCCCAATGCTGCTATTAGGCCTGTGCTGTTCCCCAGATAAAGTACCCACCCACTCAAGGAAGAGGACCTGCCCTCCCTTTTGTGTCTCTGAGGCCCTAGCTCTGCCAGGGCCCCTCCCTCTGTTCTTCCAACCAGTAAAAGTCACAGCAGTGAATTTCCTTCCGGCAGAGAGAATCAAGGCCTGGCCCTGGCCCAACCCTGCTGTGTCCTGTTGCTGAGTGTCTCCTATGAGCTTCGGGAGTGTCCCTGCCCAGGGCTTCTCCTTCACTTATTCTGAGTTCCCCAAGTGACTTCTTCTAGGATGTCTGGCAAAACTGTGTGCGGGCTCTTGGCGATGACCTGCTTTGATTTTGGGTTTTTCCACTCACTTGCTGTTTGACTCTGGGCAAGATTTCCTCTCTGGCCCTTACTTTACCTCGCTGAGCTTCTGTTTTCTCATCTGTCATTAATATTTTATTTCATTAGTACTGTCAAGTGCTCTGTTTAATTGAAAAAAAAAAACATACAAAACATAAATGAAAGAAAAAAATCTGTAATCTACTATTTAAAAATAATTTTAGGAGTGTGAGAGTTGTTGTTAAGTGCCATTGAGTCGGTTCTGACTCATAGCAACACTGTGCAGTTTCTGAAGAGTAGCTGGTGGCTTTGAACTACCGACCTTCTGGTTTTCAGTCCAGTGCTGATCCTACAGCACCACACCAGGAGTGTAAAGAGACACATGTTTATTTTTAACCAACATTGCTCTATATTCTAAACAAGAAAACATGTATTGTGTCCAGCCTACACATTCTAGTCGCCTCCCCATCCTCTTTGCCATTCAGGTATATGAACTCATGAATTCCCAGAGGCTCACTTCTGGGAGGAAGCCCACTCACTAGACACACCCTCTGGCTTAGACTAGGAGTCCTGCCACAGCCCGCCTCAACCTGATTTGGTGCTGGTTGGCCTGCCTGGGGTGGGGTCTTGATGTTTTCCCCACTGTCAATGCCCAGTAGAATGTCATTTTTGTGAGGGTTGGAACTTTGTTTCTTGTCATCAAAGTACTTTCCCACAACCCTCATAGGACCCTACCTAAGAACAGTGCTGGGCACCTAACATTTACTTAGTAAATAGATGTTGAACAAATACAAGAGGAAGCATTTGACAGGGTTTTGAAGTATGTGTCGGGTTTTGATAGGTAGAGACAAGTTGAAGAACATTCCAGCAAAGGGACTGGCATGAGTAAAGGTTAAAAGGTGGGAAAGGGTCTGGGCTTCATTGGAAATTATGAGTAACTAGTTTGGATGGAGAGAAGAGATGAGCATGTTATTTCTATACTTGTTTGACTAGTTTTTGTGTCCAATCCTGCACCTTGCACACCAGCCCTCTAAAGAGGCTTATTTACCAAGATGCAGAACGGGGTGTGTATGGAAGACACATGGGTTTCTGCCCCAGCGAGGCTTAGTGACTGATCCTGGTCCCTTGGAAAACTGGGGGAGTGGGGACTTGAACCTCATGCCTTTCTGGCTTGTACCCTCCTAACAGGGGCAGCATTCCCTCTCTCATAATCTTCAGGGACTTGATGAGTTAGCAGTTCCCAAGAGAACAGCGTGGGTGGGGGAACAGGGAAAGGAATGGCGGCCCGACTAGGCTGCTGGCCAGGGTCTAAGCCAGGACCTTTGCTTTTCTTGGCACCTCTAACAGGCCCTACCCTCTGCTCCACAGGCTGGAGGAAGTCCCCCTGGAGGTGCTGAGGCAGAGGGAATCCAAGTGGCTGGATATGCTCAACAACTGGGACAAATGGATGGCCAAGAAGCACAAAAAGGTGAGGTGGCCTGGGCCTTGAGCAAGGAGTTGGCAGCCTGGAGAGGTAGAGGAAAAGTAAGAAATCTCATCAGTTTAGGGGAGCACGGGCTTCTCCAGCAGTCAGATTGCCTTAGGTGTCCCATTCTGAAAGAGAAAACAAGCTGGTGGAAGGGCAGGGCGCAACCTTCACTCAGACCCTTGAAGAAGACAGTTCATGCAGAACTTTGTCCTGGAGTTGAATTTCGAAGGCACTTTTAGCCCAAAGCCCTTTTAGACAGCTTTCCTCTATAATTCCATAAGCCTGCTTACCACTTATCAGAGAGGACTTTGTAATACTAATAATAGCTAACATGGTGAACGTTTGCAGTATGCCAGAAACTTGACTTGGACAGTTCTTCCTACAACACACTGATGAGGCTGGCAGTAATAGTAGCCCCTCTTTACAGATGGGGCATAGGTCCAATGACTCGGAGACCTGAAGTCTCAGAGTCTGAACTCGTAGCCACTGCAGTAACCAAATCCAAAACCCGCTACCACTGAGTTGAGTTCCCATAGTGATTGTATGGAGTTTCCTAGGGTGTAAATCTTTACCAGGAGCAAACAGCCTCATCTTTCTCCTCTGGAGGAGCTGGTGGATTTGAACTGCTGACTTTATCCTACACTTACCCTAGTGCTTATCCTACAGCACCACCAGGGCTCTTTAACTACTTCATTTGTTGTTGTTCAGTGCCATTGAGTTGGTTCTAACTCATAGTGACTCTGTATAGGGTTTCCTAAGAGTAAATGGTGAGCTTGAACTGCTGACTTTGAGATTCAAACTGACTTTACAGTTTAGCGCATTAACTCACAGCACCACAAATTTGCTACCTTTCTCTTGCCGCATGGCCAAAGCAAAAAGAAAGAAAAGTAGCCTCATGTTTAAAAAAAAAAAAAAAACATATAAAAATGAAAATAGCCAGTGTTGTTTTTCAGATCAGGCTATCTGTAGGCACTAATTCTATCCCCAAAGGAGTGTGTTTACCTACCACTCATGCCCTAGGCCGCCCTCTGCAGGTTCTACCTATTCCTTGGCCCACAAAGGCTCCAGCTGGCCCGAGGATGCCTGTCCAGAGACTCACAGCTGAAGTTGCTCAGCACTTTCCCACTGTCGTCATCTGACACACTGGTCTAGCAGGCCTTTGAACCGGTTCAGCCTGGGTCAACCATGGATGAGGAAGCAGCACTGGAGCACACCAGAATTAAAAAATTTTGGGTAAACTGAAGTGATGGAGATAGGAAAAATAATGAGTCACAGTCCTGTTAGAAACTTAACGGCCCTCCAGCGCAGCTTGGGAGTCTGTGGTGTTTGAATCAAAGATGGTGGGGCCACCCTGCTTTGAATGTGTGTCACTCTCTGCTGTTTCATCAATAATCCAATCTCTTGTCTCAGGCTCCTGGAAGAGCTCACTTCCAAGTCTCCCATTCCAGGGCTTCAACATAAATTTTTTCCATTTTGGTTAAATTCAGGTGTCTTCCAGTTTCTTTGGTTTGAAGCCTTGGTCTGGCACATCTGACTTAAGAGCATAGCAGAAAGCACAGACCATAGGCCAGATGTGGACTCAGCGCAGCTCCCTTCTCTTCCTCACTTCTTACCTATGCCTAGCTATGTAACTTTGGACAAGTCATGTCTCCCTAGCAGCCTCAGTTTCCCTTGTCAAATGGGAACCACAGTCTTGTTGCGTGGCTCGCATGAGCTAGTAACTAAAGTGCCTCAGAGACTGTGCCCATGGGAAGAGAGGCCCACCCAGGCCTGGGCCCATTGCTTACTGTTCTCTGTGGACTCTGAGGCTTACTTTCTTCTTTGCTTATTAGAAAGTTGTTCTCTTTTTCCTCTGTGCTTTTCTCACCTGATTCCTGCCTGATGGTGGGGACTGTTTCCCGGCCTCCTCATCCCTCAGGTTGTTGTCTAGCTTCAGCTAGCTCTCCAGCTGTGTGCTGTGGTGGCTTGCACAGGGATTCCCAAGGGGGGCCTTGGGGAGGTCTTTTCAGCAAAGCAGCTAGCAGTACTTCCTCTTCCCCTTGGCTTCCTAGGCCCTGTGGTTAGAGCCTGATGCCTGCCCCTGCCCAGCAGGAACCACCACAGCAATGCTTCTCCTTACCCCACTCAGAGGCCTGAGCCCTCTGCTCTAGGAGGGGAGGGGGCAACTACAGGGCATCACAGCTGCCACCTTAGCTGTGGCTGTACTGGCCCAACTACTCTAGGAGCTTTTCCTGCCTGGCCGGAGAGGCTTGGGTCCTCCCTTTGTTTGTTCAGGAAGGGCAATACCTGTTTCAGGAAGTGAGCCTATGCCCAGCCCTTCTCTAGGACTTATCCCCTGGCCCCAGAAGAAGGACCAGGCCCTGCTGGAGGGTGCCCTCACTGAACCCAGTTGTGTTCAGATCTGAACTTAGCAGTAGGGAGGCTGGCCGTCGCTGAAATGCTAAGTTCCCTTGGGGACTCTGCTCAAGTTGTGACCTGGCCCTCCCAAATTCAGCAGGCGAGGGTGTGGCCTCACTTGGAGACCTCTTTCCCCAACTAAGCAATCAGAGAATGAGAATCCCAGGGCTTTCTGCTTGCTGGGCACTTTCTCATACTTTATCCTTATGGAACCCCACAAGCACTCCCTCCCCTGGCAGTCAGGGTAGAGATTACCATGCCTTCTGAACCAATATGCTAAGGAGATGATGCCACATAGGGAAAGGCTCTCAGGCCCACAGAAGAGCCTGGCCAAGCTCTGGATGCCCAAGTGGTGAATACAGGGCCTCTTAGGGGACCTTCCTTACCTCAAAGTGTCCCAGGACTTTCCAGGGACTGTGATGAGGCAAAGGCAGGCCCTGGCCCTGGGGGGAACCTGAGGGCTGGTGACTGAATTCTGTTGCCAGAGCTTGCCCAGACAAAGACCCACAGCAGCAGGAAACTGTCCCCAGGGTCTGAGCCTGTCACCTTCCCTCTCCCCTTTCCAGGCAATCCCAGAAGCTCCAGCTTGGCTCCTGTGACCGCCACAGCTGCTCTTCCCCTACCACCTTCTGCGTGGCTGCCGGTCCCTCTTCTGGTCCTTGACTCTCTCTGACTTTTGGAAAGTTTTCTTTTGCTTGCACTGGTCATCAGGAAAGTTGGCCTTCTGTGCCCCCTTCCTCGGGACCTTCCACGGGGACTGTTTGAAGGGCTCCAGGTGAGGGAAAATTAAGTCGGAACCTGAGGCCCTGTGGCTTCTGTGTCAGTCAGGGTCCCCAAATGGAGGGTGGTGACAAAGCCAGGATCTATTGAGCACATACAGTGTTTCAGGACCAGGCTAGGCACTTTTTCCCCCTTCTAATAGAGTCCTCTCAGCAACTCAGCCAAGGAGGTGCTGGCATTCCAGTCTTACAGCTGATAAGTGATTGATTCAAGGTCAATACAGCTCTTATGTGGTAAAGCTGGATTCAAACCCACAGCCATGTACTCTTCTCACTACCCCCATCCCCCTTCATCCCATGCCAGGCTAGGGGTGGGCATGGTGTCAAGGGGGGCATCATTGGCCAATTCTTCTGAAACCTTCCCCTCCACATCCCACTGGAGTGGTGCCTTGGCTCTTGCCTTCACCCTCCTTAACCTTGAGACCCAGGAGGATGGTCAGGGCAGCTGCCTTCAGAGGTTTATTCTAAGCCCAGGGGGAGCCCAGCCCCTTCCCTGTTGAGCTCCAGGAGGTCAGTTGAGAGGAAAGTATACAGAGCTGTCCCACCAGCCTGAGTGTGGAGGTAGGAAGTAGGGGAGATCTCTGCTGGTGAACAAATACTTTTCTAGTTTATGCCTCAGTTTTCCCATTTGTAAAAGACATGTTGTTTTTTAACACTGGGTTTTGACAGTGGCTGCCTTTTTCTGTAAGAGCAGCTAGCATGAATTGATCATGAGCTACCTCACAGACCTCTCCCTTCTCAGTCTTTGAATAGGAAGACAGGTGCCATTTTGCCTAGGGCTGGGATCAGGATGCCACTCAGGCCTGCTGAGATTCCTTCTCTCTAGGCTGGCTGCAGGAGCCATTGTGGCACAGTGGTTACGCACTCACCTGTTAACCAGAAGGTCTGTGTTCAAACCCACCAGCTGCTCCTTGGAAGATAGATGCAGCAATCTATTTCTATAAAGATTTACAATTTTGGAAACTCTATGGAGTAGTTCTGGTAGCATAGTGGTTATGAATCGGGTTGTGAGCTGCAAGGTCAGCAGTTCGAAACTACCAGCTGTTCCGCGGGAGAAAAATAAGGCTTTCTGCTCCCTTAAAGATTTACAGCCTTGGAAACCCTATGCAGGGTCGCTATGAGTTGGAACCAACTCCACAGCACATAACAACACCACCAATGGAGTAGGTCTAGTCTGTCATATAGAGTGGCTATGAGTCAGAATTCAACTCAACAGCATGAGTTTTGAGTTTTAGGTTGGCTGTTTAAACCTTGCTGCAACCCCAAACCAAGCTTCTTCTGAGGGGCACATTCCTGGTTAGCTGTGATCTGCTGCTTTCCCAGAGACTGCAGCTCAGCTAATCTTTTTTTTTAAGTTTTTATTGTGAATTGAGTGATAGTTTACATGGGAGAACATCAGTTTTACACTTATCATTTCATTGCAATGATTACAATCTCCTTAGTGCATCATCATTCAACAGTATTTACTTCTATTCCCGCTGGTGTTTTTTTGGGGGGGGTAGGGGGGATGTACACAAAAACACTCAGGAATATTAATCATTTAAACAACCAAAGGGCATATTCTGCAAGCCTGCCTCCTGGTGACCAGCACCTGGCTGCCAGCACAGAGCCTTTCTCTTTCCATGAGTCTAGAGTCCTCAGCTGCTCTCTCTCCACTGCCCTCATCTCTGGTGTCTCAGCTGATCTCTTCCTGGTGGTATCCCACAGACGTGTCAACTTCGGGGAGTTCGTGGGTGACAGACAGTTAAGTGTCTGATTACTAATGGAAAAGTCAGCACCTGGAATCTACACAGAAGCTTCTTGAAAGAAAGGTCTGGTGATCTAGTCCTGAAAGATCACAGCTATTGGGAGGAAAATGGTTATGGAGGATTCCAAATTCTTGAGAAAGTTCAGGAATGCTTGAGTTGTCACTGGACAAGGAAATAAGGGCCACAGGGACTCAACCATCACCTGGAAGCAGCCATTTCCCCCACCCACCCCATACTCCTCAATGCCCACCGCGCGCGCACACACACACACACATATAGGATCTGCATTAGAGCAGCAGTAAGAAAAGTGTTTTGCTCCCTTTTCTGTTCTTGCTAATGTGCTCATTGAAAGCCCACCATGTACTGGCTAGGGGTGGGCTGGCATGCTGCCTCTGGGGGAGCTGCCTGGACACAGCCCTCCTGTTTATTTTCAGATCCGTCTGCGATGCCAGAAGGGTATCCCGCCTTCACTACGGGGCCGTGCTTGGCAGTACCTGTCCGGGGGCAAGGTGAAGCTCCAGCAGAACCCTGGAAAGTTTGACGTGAGTTTCCCTTCTCCCTCCCCTTCCTTCTACATCTCTGGTGCCCTCCCTATGACAGGCCTGGATGTGCTCACTGGACCTCACACTATGAGTAGTGGATGAGAGCACAGTCAAACCCAGCTGCCAGGAAGCCAGGCCGGCCCAATCTTGTGTTCTGGTGACTGCCGGAGGCTGTGCCTATCCGAGCTCCAGCTCTTTCCCTGATAGCCACTCTGATCTCTCTCTTGGGCTCAGTGGGCCACCTCCCAGCTCCTGGTCATCAGGAGGGGACACTTAGATAACTTCCCTGACTGCCTTGAGTCCTGAGCTCTGGACTTTTGGGAGCTTACCCAGCAGGCCCACAGGAGTCTCACACTTCCTGTCCTTTCATCTTCAAATCTCCTGCTCTGCCCACACCTGTCCAGACAGGGCTGCTTTGTGACTGCTTCACTTGTGCTGTTTGTGGGGGTGGCAGAGCCGAAGCAGTATCCTCAGAGGTCTTTTGTCAGTGGGGGTATTCTCTGCAGCCATGTCCTCCAATTCCTGCCTCCCAGGGGCAAGACACTCCTTGACTTCTTGGTGCCCACCTCTGCCACCCACTCTTATAGCCTGCTCCCCTAGGGAACAACAGGATGTATTGGGCTTCTTTGGGGTCGCCCAGCCTTACCAGCTAGAGTGGTCAGGGTTTCTCCCAAATCCTTGGGACTGGTGACAGGCAGACAGGGAGAGAGTGGCCAGCTTCCAGCTATTTGTTTTTACGCTTCATGCTTTGGTGAGCACTCCTGTCCTGCCAAGCCTCTGAAAAGGGGGCTTGAGGGGCAAGGCAGCCTAGAGTTTCTGCTGTTGACTTTGCCATAGGGGGCAGGAGGATTGGTGGAGTGACTGCTTGGGGCAGTTCTGAATCAGGGTAATTGGACTGTCCTTTAAAACACTAATGCCAGGCTCCACTTGAGTGGCCTCTTCACTCCAGAGTTTTCCTCCTAGTGGTTGCATACCTCCCATTTCAAGAGGGAGTTTTCAGTACTACCCCACTACTCACCTCAGGCTGTCTGTTCACCACCGTAGACCCAGGCAGCCCACTGGGAACCCCCGGAATCTGGCGGGCTCTGTAGAGCCTGGTGGCTACCTCTTCTCCTATACTTTCCCTGCTTCCTTGGGCTGGGCAGAACCTTTTGCGTCCTTCACTTACCTAGGACAGGAGAGGGAAAGGAACTTGTTAGAAGTTCCCACTGGCCAGGGCTGGGCCCCACCCACTTGGTGTGTTTGCTGAGGACCTGGCCTTCCTCCAGCGAGCAGCCTTTTCTGACTTTTCTGATGCTGCTCTGGCCCTGGAGCTGAGGCTGACAGATCTGCTCCCCTGTTCTGGGTGCTCCTGTCCTTGCTCTCCCCTCCTCTTCCCTCTTTCTAGTTAATTGAGGTTTGAGTGTACACTAGGTAAAAACCGTTCTTAAATGTACAGTTCAGGGGTTTTGATACACAATATACAAGACAGGCAGTAATTAACATGTAAATCAAGACAGAAAGCATTTCAGAAAAGATTGTTTTCTTTTGCACTCGTGTAGTTTTTACAAATTGTACTTACGCTAATATGTTCATGATATTTCAAAGAAACAAGAAAACTTTCTTGAAATCCCTGCACCCAACAATGGATCTGAGGTTCCCATTCTTCCAGACTCTGTACAGAATACCCACCTCTTGACTAGGTGACCATTGCTTACCAGCACCATCCTCACACTTGCACAGGGAGGCAGGGCACAGAGGAGTCAGAATGGATGCTCTGGGGACTGGCTTGCTTTTCAGTTTCAGCTCCACCATTGTTCTAGCCCTGGAACCTCTTTTTTGACCCTCAGTTTGCCCTTCTGTGAAAAGACTATAATGTGATAGGCCCTGTCTTGGGAGTGGGAAGGCAAGGACTCCGTGAGGGCCGCTGGTCTGGTGACAGGTGGGAGCTGATGCTTTGATACGCAGCTTTCCATCTTAAGAATGTGATGTATGGATTCAGTTGCGTCCTGAATGAAGTGTCTAAAGGTTATTTCCAGCCACAGATATGGTAGATGCTCTTGTCTGTATGGGTCTTCCTAAGTTAGGCTCACCCAGGGTTTCCAGAGTCCTGCTTTCCTTGCCCCTTTGACCTTGCCCTGGCATCTGCCTGTCCAGGAAGGCTGGGGCCTGTGCAGGGATTAGATGAGCCCTGCCCTGGGTAGGGGCTCGCCCAAACCTGGGACAGTGTGGCCCCCAACCCTCCCCAGCTCTTAATGTGTGCCCTTGCCTTTGCTTACTTCCAGGAGCTGGACAGGTCCCCTGGGGACCCCAAGTGGCTGGATGTGATTGAGCGTGACCTGCATCGCCAGTTTCCTTTCCATGAGATGTTTGTTTCCCGGGGGGGCCATGGGTGAGCAGGCTGGGCCTTATGGACAGGGAGGTGGCCATAAGTCCTATCCCTAGTGGGCAGAGCATGCTAAGTGAATTTTGGGGTGTTCTTAGGGTCCTAGAAGGTGGGTACCCACAACTCCACAATCAGTGTTTCCTTTGTGTAGTTTGTGTCTCTTAGGTCCTCCTAGCATCTCCTTCTGCCTCCAGGGCAACTTGCATCATTTACTCCCCAGAGTAGCTTGAGCTTGCTCAGTCTGGCCCTTTCTGGAAACAAGTTTGAGTGAGGGAGAAAGAGTTAGAGTTGGGTGGGTGGGGAGTTGAATGGTGTATGGAGGGCAACCAAAGCAGATCGGGCCAGACCTGACTGAGGGGCCACAGTACGCCTGAGAGGCCCACATTTCCAGTACCCAACATGACCTGCCCTGCCCCTGGCTTCCTCTTTGAGCCTTTGACCTTCCTGTCCAATGGGACCCTGCCTGCTTCCTCTGGTCATATGAGGGTCAGTGTGTTACAGTGGAAGACAGTCCCCTCAGTGATCATAAGCAGGTTACGCCTTTCTCCAGGGATGCATAAATACTGAGTCAGGCCCAGGCAGTGAGCACATTCACATCTGTCATCGGGTCCTCCTCCTTCTCTCTACAGCCAGCAGGACCTGTTCCGGGTGCTGAAGGCCTACACGCTGTACCGGCCTGAAGAGGGCTACTGCCAGGCCCAGGCACCCATTGCTGCTGTTCTGCTCATGCACATGCCTGCGGAGGTAGCACCAGTCCCCCTTGCTGGGTGGGTGAGCAGATAGGTGAGCAGGGAGAGGCCAGTAGCAAGTCATCATGTGCCTCTCTCATCCACAGCAAGCCTTCTGGTGCCTCGTGCAGATCTGTGAGAAGTACCTGCCTGGATACTACAGTGAGAAACTGGTGAGTGCTGACTGATCCAAGGCACCCTCAACTCCCCTCTCCACAGACACTTCTGCCCAGTCCTCACTAGCTCCAGTGTTACCATGTGTGCCTTCAGTTTCTGGCCGCCTGGGCAGGGTCACAGTCCCTCCAGGGCACCAGGTTCCTTCCTGCCTCTAGGCCTTGGCATAAGCTCTTTCCTCTGCCTGGAATCTCTTCTCCCTCCTCCACCTCCTTCCCCTGACAACTCCTCCTGCCCCTCAGCTTTCAGCTCTCAGGAAGCTGTCCTTGACCCTGGCAGGGGACTGTCCCACACATGCTTGTCCTGTGTTCCTGTTCCTGCCATGTTCAGGATCCCTAGCCCCCCAAGTCTCTTTGCTCATGTGACTCCAGTCTGTCTTCTCCATTTCACTGTAAGCTCCATGTGTAAGATCAGTGAGTGTGCTCATTCTTCATGATATCCCCAGCATCTGCCATGCAGGCAGTCAGCAAACTCCTGAGGAGATGCCTGCCTGCCTGTTGTGGGAGCAGGGTGGTCCCTCTGGTGGTCATGGCCTCTGTGTCTCCAGGAGGCCATCCAGCTGGATGGGGAGATCCTCTTCTCGCTGCTGCACAAGGTGTCACCTGTGGCCCACAAGCACCTCAGTCGGCAGAAGATCGATCCGCTGCTCTACATGACTGAGTGGTTCATGTGTGCCTTCGCCCGCACCTTGCCCTGGAGCTCAGTGCTGCGCGTCTGGGACATGTTCTTCTGCGAAGGTACTGAGCACCCTTGCATCCAGCCCAACCACATGGGGCTCCTGTTTCCAGAGAAACCCTCTCAAGGCCCCGATGTGCTCACCCTTGCAGGTGTCAAGATCATCTTCCGGGTGGGGCTGGTGCTGCTGAAGCATGCGCTGGGCTCTCCAGAGAAGCTCAAAACCTGCCAGGGCCAGTATGAGACCATCGAGCGGCTGCGGAGCCTCAGCCCCAAGATCATGCAGGAGGCCTTCCTGGTCCAGGAGGTGCGGCCCAGCCCTTCCTGTCATCACCTACCAAGGGAGGGGAGGCCTGCTAACCCTCTGCCTTGGAGGCTGGGTCAGCTGGGATGGTGTGCACGGTTCTTCCCACTGAGTGGCTGTCTCATTGTTCGGAACCTCTTGGGAATGAAGAAGAAGAAACTGATCCCTCAGTGGCACCTCTTCCCCTTGGGCCACATTCGTACCATAGAGTGTATTTTCCTTTTGTGACAGTGTGTCTCTCCGGGGTTGTCATGGGGTAACAACTGAGGTGGCTTCACTGGGTTGCGGGGAGGGTGGTACCACGGTGTGGGGCAGAAGTAGAAGATACTTCCCAGAATGGCTGCTGAGGGCTTGCCATTATCCCATCTCCCACATAAGATGTGGCAGTCACAATGACTTTCCCCAAACCTCCCAGCAGGCAGGCAGTGGAGCAGGAGCTGAGCGTAGGTGGCCAGCAGTCCTGAGCAGTGATGGGGTCATGTGGACAGACAGCAGATTCTGCTTCTGGGGATCATGCCTAGTTTTCTCCTTAAAGCAGTGCCTTCCCCAGCACACAGCTCTGGGACTTATGAGAGCCTCATAAGTCCTTCCTGGGGTCATCCGTTACTGGCTAGCATTGGAGGATGCGACAGAGGGTAGGGGCCTATACTGGGAGGCAGAAGGGAAGACCCACCTGCCCCTTGCTGCCCCACAGGTGGTGGAGTTGCCTGTAACAGAGCGCCAGATCGAGCGTGAACACCTCATCCAGCTGCGGCGCTGGCAGGAGACCCGGGGCGAGCTTCAGTGCTGCTCCCCGCCCCGGCTGCACGGCGCCAAGGCCATCTTAGAGGCAGAGCCAGGCTCCCGACTTTCCCTGCAACCGTCACCATCCATTCGTCTGCCTCCAGATGCCCTCCTCCCTGGCTCTAAAGCCAAGTCCAAGCTTCCCAAACAGGTCCAGAAGGAGAAGGAGAAGCAGAAGCAAGCGAAGGCAAGTGGGCAACAGAACCAGCCCCCAGTTACAGGCCAAGCCGAAATGGTGGCTGCTGCGGGAGATGCATGCCCCCCACCAGATGTGCCCCCGAAGGACCCAGCTCCGCAGAACTCAGCCCACCACTGCTCCCAGGAGAGTCTGACGTCCCAGGAGAGCGAGGACACCTACTTATAACCTGGGCAGCTCAGGCCTCCGGGCGGGGTCTCCACACACGTCCATGGCTCACGGACTGACATTCCAAGGCCTGCCTACCCTTTAATGGCCAGACTGCTGGGCCAGGGTAGGGTCTGACTTGCCCAGCACAGATTCTGCCTGAGGTTCCTTATTTATTTTCTCCACAGTGGAGCACAGGCGGCCAGCTAGGGCAGGCAGGAGTGAGGCCAAGTGGGTGGGCCCTCACTCCTCCTCCTGGGGTGCTCCTGTGAGGAGAAGGTGGGGTGAAGGGTGGGGTGCTCTTTGTGTAAAATAGGAACTTGGTTTTGTACAGAAATAAACAAGACTTGTGTAGAGAGCTGGTGTTTAGGACCTGAAGGGGGTGCTACCCCAGGGCTCAGCACCACTTCTCCATGCCCTACTGAGCCTTCCATCCTGGGTCTTGGGACACCTGGCCACTCAACCCCACACCAGCACCTCTCTGAGCACATTTGTCAAAGGAGCTGTCAAGTCCAGGCCACCCCTGTTATGAGCCTTAGCTCCATGTCTACCATCTGCTGTAGATAGGTGCCAGGGTAGAGCAGGCTCTTCTCCCTGGGCCCTGGTCCTTTCCATCACCATACGAAGGTGGCTTCAGGGTCTTCCTCCCCAAGACCTTGCTTGGATGTCCCATCAGAATGGGTTTCAGTGCTCACTCTGCGTCAGGTATTGGTGCCAAGGGTGGTACATCCATGAATGTCCTTATGTGCTCAGCTCAGGCCTCCATCAGAGGCAGGTGGGTAAGGGGAGAAGCCTGTGTCCTTGATAAAGTGTACCTCCCATGGACTGAGCACATGCCACAAGCCAGGCTGACTGCCTGGTCAGTTATCCCTCAGCCCAGCCTATTATTACCTTCATTGTTGTTGTTGTTAAGTGCCGTCGAGTTGATTGTGACCCAAAGTGACCCTGTATAGGGTTTCCAAGGAGCAGCTGGTGAGCTTGAAACACCGAACTTGCAGTTCAAATGACTTTGCAGTCTGACACATTAGCCCCCAGCACCACACCAGGACTCCTATCACCCTTGTTGTTACCCTCGTTGTTGTTATGTGTCATGGAGTCAGTTCCGACTCATAGCGACCCTGCATAGGGTTTCTGAGGCTGTAAATCTTTATGGGAGTAAAACGCCTCATCTCTCTCCTGTGGAATAGCTGGTAGTTTCGAACTGCTGACTGTGAGGTTAGCAGCCCGATTCATAGCCATTACACTACCAGAGCTCCTTATTACCCTCGTTGTTGTTGTTACATGCCGTGGAGTCGGTTCCGACTCATAGTGACCCTGTACAGGGTTTCTGAGGCTGTAAATCTTTACGGGAGCAAATAAGCCTCATCTTTCTCCCGTGGGACAGCTGGTAGTTTCGAACTGCTTACCTTGAGGTTTGCAGCCCGATTTGTAACCACTACACTACCAGAGCTCCTATTACCCTCATTACAGATGTGGAAATGAGCGGAGTGGGAAAGGAACCTTTTCCTGTAGAGAACCAGAGCCAGATTTGCACCTAGGACCCCTCAGCTGCCTCTCCTAACCCAGATCCCAGGGTGACCTAAGTATCACTGAGGCACAGCGGTCACAACCTGGTGAAGGCGAGGACAGCGTGTCCCTGCAAGAGGGCCCCCCTTCTGCTGAGGAAGCAGCTTTTCCAGTCAAACAATAGCGGTTGTTCCTGGCAGTCAACCAGGCTGGGCCTGGTGGGGGAGTGGATAGGGAGGGGTTAGAGCCTCCCTGAGAGTCTGCAGGCATCTTGGGACCTGGGACATCTTGTCCTGCTGCAGCCAGGGTTATTGAGGACTAGGGTGGTCAATGGCCACACAAGCCTGTCAGGGCAGGGCCCCTACTTTCTGTCCCCTACCCCTCACACCTGTGGTTTCCTACCTCCATCTGCACTGATGAGGAGAAGAGGGTGTCCCAGTTTTTGAGCAGTACCCCTCCACCAGCCCTCCAGGGACAGGGAGGGATGTGATGTGGCAGCTGTAGAGTCCACAGGAACCAACAAGTGAAGAATGCAGGGATTAGTTCGTGTCCATCTGCCCTCAGTGAGGCCACAGAGAAGCAGGAGGCCTGCTGGGGCCTGCTTTTCCCTGCTTGCTTTCAAGTCTTTTCAAGACAGATTCTAGAGACTGCTGAGATTTGCAGCCTGAGGAAGTTCAGGCCAGCCTAGGCAGGCTGATGCCTGCTCAGCCTTGGGGTCTTTTTAAGAGCTGAGGAGGCTGGAGCAAAACCCAGTCTCAAACTTGAATTGAGCCATGGTTGACCTTCACCAGCCTTGGGTCTGTGATGCTGCCATTGCTGGGGGCGTCTTTGGGCCTCAGCCAGTTTGGGTTCTGCTAAGAGTCTTGGTGTGGTGCTATAGGGTACACGCTGGACTGCCAACCACAAGATCCGTGGTTCAAACCCACCAGTTGCTCCTCAGCAACCCTATAAAGATGGCTGTGAGTCGGAACCATCTCATCTGAACTTCACAACAGTGACTGCTGGCTTTAGGAAGCCTGCAGTCTGGTATCCAGTGAGCTTTGGGCACAGGGGTTTACCTTAGACATTGACCCTGGTGGGGAGCCTTCGACTTTGAGACTTTGAAAGTTGTTCGAGAGGAACAGGTGTTGTGGTCAGTCTGCCAGCCCATTGGCTGGGTTCACTAAGGGAGGGAATGTAAGCATCAATATCTACCCTGGGTAGCACTTCCTGGTATCATACCCCCACCCCCACCCCCTCCCCCCTGGAGTTTTGGTGTGGTGCTGCAGTTTAATGCACTGGACTGTAAGGTCGGTTTGAACTGCAGAGTTGGCGGTTCAAGTTCACTAGCCGCTCCTCGGAAATCCTATACAGGGTCGCTATGAGTCAGAACCGATTTGAAGACACTTAACAACAGCCTAACGCTCCGGAATGCAAAATCGTTTGAATCGCAAGGTCGCGATTCAAGCTCACCAGTCACTGCTTGGAAACCCTATACAGGGTCGCTGTGGGTCGGAATCCACTTGACAGTACTTAACAACAGCCTGCTCTAGCGGTTCTACCCCCTGCCGATCAGCGAGAGAAAGGAAGTAACCAGAGCTGCACAGAGGACCCTTATCCTCCACGTCCCAGGGGGTCGGGGGCTACTGAACGTCAATAACCTCAAGATGGCCTCAACCATAAGATACACTTGTGTGGCCAAAAACGGCAAAGACCACCCCAAAGGGCAGAGACAAAAGTTCCACATCCCAGCACTACTGGCGTCCAGTGTAAAGGGCGGAACCCTAGGGGGCGCAGTAGGGGCGGGGCCTGAAAGACGCGGAGGGGTTGCGGTCAGTAGGCGAGCCACAGAGCCTCGGCTAAAGGGGCGGAACCAGCTGAGGTCCGGAAAGAACTAGGCGAAGTTCTGGTGCTCCGGAGAGGCGTGGCCACCCGATGGGCCATGCAGTCTTCAGGGCGTGGCCGAAGGGCGCGGGGCGGGATGAGGCGAGTCGTAGCGGGCGGCGTGGACGCGTCCGCGCAGCAGCTTCTTTAGCCCTGGCCCCGCCCCATCGCCCCGCCCCCCGCGCGGCCTGGGTCTGGTAGGCGGCGGGGTCCGCTCAGCGCGGCCACGATGGAGCTGCACATTCTAGAGCACCGGGTACGGGTGCTGAGCCTCGCCCGCCCTGGCCTTTGGCTCTACACGCACCCACTCATCAAGCTGCTCTTCCTGCCCTGCCGCAGTCGGTGCGCTCCCGGGTTCGGGGACTCAGATGGGGTAGGGGCTCGGATGTCACTCCGGGCCAGGGCTGGGAGGGATTTAGGGTCGTTGCGGGGCTGGCCGGGAGCGGGTGGAGACGACGCTTCTCTGACCACCATCCGGCCTGAGCCTCCGTTCCCTGAGGCCGCCGCCATCCGGCCTCTTGAGGCCCATGTTCCAGGGCCAGTTGGGGCGCAAACAGCCTGAAGTAGGCAATGCTTAACTCCCAAGTAGTGTCATATGGGGGGATTCCTTCCTGACGAGTGCGGGGAACTTTCAGGTGACTTCCGTCAGGCCACAGGGCCTGTCTAGGGTCCGAAGGCCCAAAGCCCCTGTGGCTGTCTCCTGAAATGGGGAACGGGGATGCGTGAAGTAGCCCAGGATAGGGTTCAGGGAATTTAGGAGGCGGAGAAGTTCCATGATGGCGCCCACACCACTGACCTGGGAAGAAAACTGAAGCAGGCGGGGAACTCCGGATCCTAGACCACCCGCAGACAGGAAGGCCTCCTGGTAGGAGGTCTTCCTGGCAAGCACAGGTAGCTCTCCGCTCCAGGCTGAAGTTGCTTCCCTCCCCAACCAGGTGCAAGTTCTTCAGTCTGACGGAGACCCCCGAAGATTACACGCTCATGGTGGACGAAGAGGGCTTCAAAGGTGGGAATGGGGCTGGGAAACAGGAGCACAGGGAGGGATTCATGGAGTTGGGACCTTGAAGGCAAATGGCTCTGTGTACTGACTGTGTGCCCTTGAGCAAGTCTCTTTCCCTCTCTGAGCCCCGTTCCTCTTCTGTAAAATGGCTATGGTTATGCTTCTGATCTACTAGGGTCTCACTAGGGTTTCATATACCCTGGGCTGTGTGTTAGGGGGTTCCTGCAGCTGCTATAAACCCTGGACGTCTCTCTCTGCTGCTGGTCACATCTTTCCCTGCTGGCCAGGGAACTCCAGAAGCTGAAGGGTTAGTGAAAGAATTCAGGAGCAAGTAGCTATGTAGGGTGGGGTTCTAGGGTGCCTCCTGGTTGTGCTGGGTGAGTAGCAGGCACCCAGCCCCTGTCCCTGCTCTGGACTGGACACCAGCCTCTCTCTCTGGACCTTGGAGCTGACATCTGGCTCTCATTGCCATTTCTGCCAGCCTGGTCCATCCTTCAGGCTTGGAATCTCAGACCTGCCAACTGGTGCTTGGCCCATCCCCCAGTGCTTGACTTCTGGCCTTAGTTTGTACATAAGGCAATGAAGTTGGGATGCCCAAAAGGAAGGCCTTCCCCAGCTAACCTGTGTCGTAGCACCCCCTGGTGGTGCCAAGTGGAGTAATCAACCACTGCCAGGAAGTGAATTCTGATTCCTAAACAATCCTGTAGTGGATTAAAGCCTCTATTAGCCCTCAGAACTTCCTGTGGGACAGATATATTGTTATTCCATTTTACAGGCCCGAAGATTAAATCTTTGTCCCAGGTTGCATAGCATAAATAGTGAAATTGGGATTTGAGCCCAGGTCTGTCTGGGACGTTTCAGTCCCTAGCAGGTCAGCTCCCAAAGTGCTACTCAGTCCTTGTATTCATACAAATCTTAAGAGCAAAACTTGGGGTCAGGGGAGATCAGCCTCAGTCTCCAGACCTGCCTTTACCTTGGCAGGGCCCTTCAGGTATGTATAGGGAGACAGGATTAGAGAGGTATATATAGGGACCAGCTCTGTAGACCCTGATTGGTCATGTGCCTCCACCCACAGAGCTGCCCTCCTCTGAGTTTCTGCAAGTGGCTGAGGCCACGTGGCTGGTGCTTAGCGTCTCGTCTCACAGCGGCACGGCCACAGCGGTGCAAGCCACTGGGGTCACCAAGATCGCCCGTTCGGTCATAACGCCACTGGCCGAACACCATGTATCGGTGCTAATGCTGTCCACTTACCAGACAGACTTCATCCTGGTAAGTGTTCTACCAGTTCCGGGGCAGGGTAGGGTGGGCCCGGGTGCCTGGGGACCCACATGATATGCCATCTCCCTGGGGCCAGGTGCGGGAACAGGACCTGTCTGTGGTGATCCACACGTTGGCCCAGGAGTTCGACATTTACCGTGAGGTGGGCGGGGAGCCTATGCCTGTTTCCAGGGATGAGTCCAGCAACGGCTTTACCCGTGTCCAGCATGGTGAGGGCTTCCCCCTGACACCCAAACTCAGGCTGGGGCTCCTCTTTCCATTAGTGCCTTTTCCCTTGTGTGGGTAGGTCTGTGGGCGTGGCAAGACAGGGCCCCAAGAACCTAAGCCAATTCCTGGAGAGATTGAGCCTGCCCGGCCTCCTCCCTGACTGGCCACCAGGGGGCGACCCAGTCCATGGCTACCTGTTCACCAGTTGGCCCCATCCATTCTGAGCAGGGCCCAGCCCCACGGTGCATCCCATCCAGAGTCCCCAGAATCGCTTCTGTGTCCTCACCCTGGACCCTGAGACGCTGCCAGGAATCGCCACCACGCTCATAGACGTCCTGTTCTACTCGCATAGGTGGGCCCCTGGTTTGCTAGCCCCTGTCCTCCATCCTACCACCTTCCACCAGTCCATCCGTTCTGCAGCAGTATCCTCTTCTGGGTTCCTGGCAGTCCCTGAGGTCCACATAGTCTCCACTGATTTGGGGGATGATCCCTGACCCAGTGGTTGGAACCCTCTCCCGTGGTGTCCACAGAACCACCCCAGACCCTTGTCCCACTAGGCCCTCCCACACCTAATCCTACACCTTGGCATAACCGGTGGTACCTCATCTGCACAACTAGGAAGTTGGGGTCTTTGGACAGCAGAGCAAAGTGCTCCAGAGATGGGAGGGAGCATGGTGAAGTGGAGAGGGTGTGTGGGCTAGGTGCCCTCAGAGCATCAAGCCTTCTGTCCCTCCGCAGTGTTCCCAAGGAGGCAGCCCATGGTGGTCCCGAACCCAATTCTATCCCATTTTTTGCCTTCTCCCTCATTGAGGGCTACATCTCTATCGTCATGGATGCTGAGACACAGAAAAAGTATGTTAGCCCCCTGCACGTGGACCCTCAGCTAGCCCAAGGGAAGGAGGAGACAGTATCAGCTGGGAGGCTCCCAGACTGCCTGCCCTGGGGACTCACTGTGGGCAGGGGTGGAGTGTCCTGCCCACCACCCTCTGTACCCCCTTCTCAGGTTCCCTAGCAACCTGCTGTTGACCAGCTCCTCAGGGGAGCTGTGGAGGATGGTGCGCATCGGTGGACAGCCTTTGGGCTTTGGTGAGGGCCTGTCTTATGTGGTGGGTGCTGGGGAGGGCCTGTGGGGGGCAGGGGGGCTCACCTCGGTCCCTCATCAACCTTCAGATGAGTGTGGGATCGTGGCACAAATTGCGGGTCCCCTGGCTGCAGCTGACATCTCTGCCTATTACATCAGCACCTTCAACTTTGACCATGCTCTGGTGAGTGCTCTAGGCTGGGATGGGAGCTTCTGGATGTAGACAGGCCTAGAGGGTGATGGTGGGGAGACAGGAAGTAGTCCCAGCTGGGCCAGCTTCAGCCTTGAACCTGCCCACCTGCCTGCAGGTACCTGAGGATGGGATCGGGAACGTCATCGAATTGCTCCAGCGACGACAGGAGACCCTGGGCTCCTGAACCCCATGGGAGAAACACTCTCCCACTTGCCTCCAGGCTGCTGGGAGCTTCTCTAAGCTATCTTCTCAAGCTCTGGGACAGTCCCCTGGTTCCTTCCAGGAGACCCCTTGTTCCACTCTATGTATGTAAGCTGCTTGTGGGCACCGGCTCTCATGTGAACACGCGTGTGTACCCACACAAGAGTAGGTAGGCGCTGACCCCACTATGCGTCTTCCCACACAGGGGAACACGGTGCTGGGGGTTCTACCCAGAAGCCCCCAACCCATCACTCTCTGCAAGGCCTCGGCATTTGCACAATTCCTGCCTGAGGTCCGAGCCACCTCCCTCAGCCCTCCCCACTCCACCCCCTGGGTCGTTGTACTTCTAGACATGGCCTCTGATCTCCGTTCTGCCTCTGGCTGGGTGGTCTTGCCCAGTCAGGAACATTCTGACAGTGCTGCCCTCCTGGGCCTCTAAGAAAAGTATTTTTGCAACTCTTCCTTTCTTCATTTTTTATCAACTTGTTATAAATAAAAGACTTCGTAGTGACTGAACTGGGCGTGGTCCTTGGGGGACATCTGAGTTTGGTTCTGATTCTGGACCACAGCTTTTCCTTGACGTCCTTCTGCCCCCACCCAAGGCAGAAGTGTGTGTCTATGAGCGGGAGCCGGCAGACCTTGCTACACTTGGTTCTCATGGTTCCCCCCAGAGCTCAGAGAGGTGAGGTGACTTGCGAGGGTCACTCAATGTCTGGAAGACTGCCATTCAGGACTGCCTGATTCGAAGCTGAGGACCTTTCTTCATTCTTTGCTGCCTCCAGAAAAGCCCAGAAGGTTCTCAACATGGGCAGGAAACTCCCCCTGCTTGAGGAACCACCCCAACCCTCTCTGCCTGCTTGGGTATGGCTGGCCTACGGAGAAGTCCCTCACAGCACTTCCAGGCTGCTGCTTGAGTTCTGCTGGAGTGGTGGGAGAGGGTGTAGTGGTGGGCACAAGACGTAGGGGTCTAGATTGGGTTTCTCCCTGCTGAGGTGCAGGGTCTGGAGTTCAGGACAGGACTAGAGGCTCACAAGTCTGGGCTGTGTGCACCCGGTTTCCATTCATGGTGGAGGAGGGGCACCCTGCTGCATGGTGAGCCTGGGATTCCACTGTGGCCTGAGGGGGCCCCACAGATGAGCCAGGGAGGTTATCAGGTGCCCTCAGCCCAGACCCGCCCGCACTGGGGAAGGGAGGAAGGGTGTGACTTCGGCGTACTCAGAGGTCCCAGTGGATCCCCGGAAAAGCCTGAATGGGGGCCAGACCTCTGGCAGTGTGCCCACTTGCCCCCAGGAACTGTGGCCTAGGGTGTCTGTATGTAGACCAGAGGAGCTGAGAGCACAGCCCTACCCGGGTGAGTCAGAAGGGAAGACCCTGGGGACCAGCCCCTCCCCCTTGGTCTCAGTTTCCCCATATGCGTGGATACCTAAGAGGCAGCGCCATCAGGACCCCGGGGAGGGGACATTTCCTTGGAGTCTGTTAGGGGGCTGAGGAGCTCTCAGCTCCCCCACTAGATGTATCTGGGTCTGGAAGGGGAGGGCCTGGATTTGAGGCAGGACACAGTTCTTGGGGCTACCTGACCTGCAGCTGGAGAGCTCTTGACCCTGTGTCATTCTGTGAGTCGTATCTGGCTGTTTCTGTCATCTTGGGTCTCCAAGTGCTTCAGATCTTGCCCAGGTCCCTTTTAACCAGGGCTGTCCTGACCTGGGCTAGTTCTTGGGGTTGTTCACAGAGCTAGCCCAGATGGGGGCCGCAGGCATGCCCCAGTGAGCTGGCTTGACCTGGACCCAGTTTTAGCAGTCAGTGTGTCCATGTGTGTCTGCCACATGTATTGCAAGTCTGCGTATGGTCAGGGATCCAGGGCTTGGGAGGTGCCCCAGGGAATCCTCAGCTGAGAAGGGGATTTGAAATTCCTCCTTAGAGATACTTCAGCAGCAATTCTGGGTTTGAAGTCCTCACCCCAACCCTGCCAGGTAAAACCACATACCTGTCAAGTGGCCCCAAAGCTGGGTTCCTGGGTCCCATGCAAAGGGTGGGTAGATAAATCATGTGACCTCCTGAGGCTCCTCCCAACCCAGGTGGAGAGGGTCCCAGCAGGACCTCTTCTGAACATGGGAGTGTCATGCTCTGTTCATTCATATATTCAACACCCACTATTAGCCCCATTTACATGGGTGGAAATGAAGCACAGAGAGATCAAGTGACTGGCCCAAGGTCACACAGCCTGGCTTAGAGACCCAGAATTCAAAAAAGGTTAACTACCCACAGGAGCCTGGGGAGTTTCCCTGGAGAAGGGACACTTGAGCTGAACCCTGAGGGACTGGGACTATTTTGCAAGATCCCTTGCAATCCCAGCTGTCTGCGTCTGTGGCTGGGTGTCTGCTGCCAGTGGCAACGAGTGCGTGGGCAGGCACGAGAGGTCTGGCCCTGGCTCCTCCCTGACCTCGGCCAGGGCAGGGTGGGTATGTTGGGTAATGGCCGTGGTTTGCGTCTCACTTTCCTTGGCGGGCCCTGATTCTGGACTTCCGATGGGGCTTCTCGAACTTCCTTTCCAGGGGCTTGGCCCTGGCTCCATGTGGCTATGTGTACTGCATAGGTATCCAAGAAAAGGACTTTGCTTGTGGGTATTGTAGCCCTCTGTACATGTTTCTATTGAGTGCTATGGCAGGAAAGCATATGTTTGGTGATGTCTGCAAGTGTAAACATGTGAGTGTCCTGGTATGGCTTTGCACTTGTCTGATTATAACTTTATGTGGAGACGGTGTATCTAATAGTGTGTTTTCTGACAGTGTGTGAATGTCAGCTGTGTCCCTGTCCATGTCTACTCATGTATCTGTGCTCGTCTGTACGCACATGAGCATTTTGGAATATGTGTTTGTGTATATCTATTTTGTATTTCCCTGGGACTGTGTGTACATGCTCCCATGCGTGTCTGTCTGTCAACTTTTCTTCCTTGGATTCATATCCCGCAGGCCTCCACCTGCTGCCTCCCCCTTCCAGGCCCTGGAGCCCAGCTCTCAGAAGGACCTGCTCACTGCAGTCACCACTGCTACCCCATCTGGCCTCCTCTGACCTCTCTGCTCACTCCCTTTCAGTGCCTCCTGTTTGATCTGGAGCCTGGAGCCAACCTGCACTGCTTTCTGCCCCTCCGCCTGGGCACCCTGGTACAACACAGCCCCCAAGGCTCCTACCTGGCGTGTACCCCACACTCCTCAGGGCCCCTGATCAGCCCATGGTTGTCCTCCCCAGGTTACTGTCCCAGTCTCCCCACCAGAATCTCTCCCCTTCCCCACTTCCCTCCAGTTATCGGTATAGACACATTTTTTTTAAAACTTTTTATTGTGATTTGGGTGAAAGTTTACCGAACAAATTAGTTTTCCATGCAGTAATCCATAAACATTTTGATATTGATTGCAGTCCTTACAAAGCAATATTAACAGCCCTCTTCCCATGTCCTCTGTGTGCATACCATTTCTCTTTATCCTTCTTTCCTATCCCTTCCTGCCTTCTGAGCTTTATCTTTGGGCAAATGCTGCCCTTTTGATCCATTGGTTGACTATTTTAAAAAAGTATGTATGTCTCCCTGATGTTATTGCTCACTTGATAGGCTTGCTATCATTTGGCTGGACTCCTGGTGTGACTGTAGGATCAGCACTGGACTGCGAACCACAAGGTTGGTGCTTCAAACCCCCCAGCTGCTCCTCAGACAACCCTATACAGGGTTGCTATGAGTTGGAACCAACTCAACAGCACTTACTAACAACAACAATCATATGTCTAAAAGGTGAGCCGGGGAACTAAGTTCACTTCCGTGCCTGAACAGTTAACTAAGGACCTTGTCTCAGAGGTTCCAGCAGTCTCTAGCTAGTAAGCCTGATCTTTTTTTTATGATTTTGAGTTTTGGTCCACATTTTTTTTTTATCTGCACTCTGGTGATAGAATTTATTTCAGTTAACTTTTAGGAAAGACAAATGCGTCATGTTTCGACATAATCTCCTTGCTTTTCAATACACTTTGTCCATCTGTCAACAAGCTTTCATAGTCCCTTTTTAAAAAGCATTTTAGACTGAGCTGCTAGCCACGAATGCATCGCTGTGTTTACTTCTTCATCAGAGGTGAAACTTCATCATTGAAAGGCTGCTTGTTCCCCTGAAAGCAGGTGAAAGTCCAATGGAACAAGACCAGAACTATAGGGAGGATGTTTTAACACCTCAAAAAGAAGATTTTGTAGAGTGTCAACAGTGTGGGCCGAGGTGTGCGAACATGCATTGTCATACAAGATCAGAATGCTCTTTTTTGATCAAAATGCTCTTAGTAGCCCTTTGTGTTTAATCTGAAGTTTAGGCTTCAGTTCTTCAATAAGCATCTCACTGTAACCAGCACTGTTGATTGTTGAACATTTTTTCTGATTGTGTTCCAACACTGGCCCTTGAGAATCCCAGAAAACTATAAGCATCAATTTTCTAACTGATAGTTGACTTTTGAACTTTTTCTTGGTTGGCAATTGAGGATGTTTCCATTCCATACTCTGCCGTTTACTCTCAGGCTCATAGTGATGAATCCGTGTCTCGTTACCAGTAATGATCTTTTAAAAGAAATTGGTCCACATTTTTCCCCACTCTGCCCAGGACATTCTATAGTGATCCCTTTCAGAGCAGTCAGCAGTGGTAGGTGGACATCATCTAGTTCTTCTGGTCCCAGGATCATGGAGGCCGGGATTCATGTGGTCTGTTAGTCCTTTGGACTAATTGTTTCCTTGCGTCTTTGACTTTCTTCACTCTTCTTTGCTCTGGAGGTGGAGGGACTAAAGTTGCATGTTAGATGGCTGCCCCCTGGTCTCTTCCACTGCATCACCACTAGCGGCCATTGAGTCAGCTCTGACTCACAGCTGCTCAGTGCGTGCGAAGTAGAACTGTGCTCCATAGTGTTTTTAAGGCTGTGACCTTTCTGAAGCAAATCACCAAGGCTTTCTTCCAAGGCACCTCTAGGTGAACTCTAATCTCCAGCCTTTGGTTAGCAGCCAAAAGAGTATGGTATTCCATTTATACAATCCAGTGACTTTCACCATTGTCTTAGGCCAAGTTTTCTAGAAAAGCAAAACTAGTGAAACATATATATGTGTGTGTGTGTGTATATATATATATATATATATATAGAGAGAGAGAGAGAGAGAGAGAGAGAGAGAGAGAGAGAGAAGTTTATTATCTTAACAGTTATCCCAGGTCCACAGGGAGCAGACCATACCCCCAAGGAAGCATCCCTTTAATTGATTGACTGCTCATAGCTGTTCGTCATAGAGCTAACTATGCCTGTATGAGCTTTCATCACCATAAGAATAAGCACATCTCAACTGCTAAACCTCTGGAAATCCTGGCCTACTTCAGTTGACACAGAAACCTAACCATTACAGTCGTGCTAAACATGAAAAATTACCCCAGCGTGGCCCTACCGTGACCCCTTTCTCCCTGATCACCAACTTTTGAGGGTTCCCCCTGCTCATGAGGCTAAGCCCACTTTTGATACCCCCTGGCCTGCACCAGCTCTCCTGGCCATCCTGTTACTCTGGCCCTCAGCCTACATTCACATCCCTATAAACCGGGACACCTTCTCTGGACAGCTGCCAGGCCCTGCTTGCACTGACCTGGCCTTGTAATTTAAAGTAGCCCCTCCTCCCACTCTACTTTTTTAAAAAACATTTTATTGTGAATTGAGTGAAGGTTTACAGAGCACAGCATCTATTTTACACTCAACAAACCACACACTTCATTCCATCTTGATGATTGTAATCCCCTCTGTGTAACATCACTCATCCCACTTCCTTCCTGTGTTTCTTGTTTCCATTCCTCCTTCTTTCCCCACCCTTCTGAACTTTGCCCTTGGGTAAATGCTGCCCTTCTGATCTTGAATGGTTGATCATTCTATGGTGTGTATACCTCACTAATATTGTCCTCCCTGGAGTTCTGGTGTGGCGCTGTTGGTTAATGCACAGGACTGCAAAGTCCTCTTGAACGGAAGGCTGGTGGTTCAAGTTCACAAGCTGCTCCTCGGAAACCTATACAGGGTCACTATGAATCAGAACTGGCTTGGTGGCACACCACCACCACTACCATATACCTATCTATTGCTTAGCTGAAAATTGAGCCACAGAGCTGAGTTCAGTTCTAGATCTGAAGGCTGACCAAGGACCACCGTCTTGGGGGTTGCACCATTTCTATCTGACCAGTAAACCTGGTCTTTTTTATGATTTAGAGTTTTGTTCCACAGTTTTTCACACTCTAACCAGGGCCTTCTAATATGATCCCTTTCAGAGCAGTTGGTCATGGTAGCTGGGCACCACGTAGTTCTGATTTCAGTGTCATGAGTATTGATGTACATTAGTCCATTGTACTAATTGTTTGTAAGCAACTTCAATTTATATCACCCTTCTTTCCTCCAGACAGGGAGAGACCAATACGATAGTTGTACCTTAGATGGTAGCTCATGAACTTTTAAGATCCCAGTTACTAAATAGCCCCCACTTTTTTTTTTTTTAACTTTTTATTATGAATTGAGTGAAGGTTTACAGAACAGATATCAGTCCCATATTCAACAAACCATACACTTCATGTCATTACAATGATTGCAATCCCTTCCACGTACCATCAATTGACAGTATTTACCTCTGCTCACTTTAACTCTTGCACTCCGCCCTGTGTCTTCCACTACCTTATTCTTTCCTATGCCAACCTCCCTCTTGTATATTACCTTCCCCATCACCCAAGTTAGCACAGTCTACCTTCTCCCCAGTGAATAACGTTCCCTTCCCTCTCACCCCTGGTAGCCATCATAGAATATTTCATTTAGCAAGAAAACCTCTTCTTAACTTTTTACAACAGTGGTCTCTTATAATATTTATCCTTTTGTTATTGTCTAATTTCACTCAGCATAATGTCCTCATGTTATGAGATATTTCACAAATTTGTCATTCTTCAGTGTTGCATAATAGTCCACGGTGTATTTGTTGTATTGTTGAATATTAACTAAATCTTTCTGATTTTCCTCCTTTTTTATTTTGACGTGAAGATGTATCAATTTTCTCTGAGGTTACCCTATAATGTATTTATGTTCCCCATTTAAAACAGTCTGTTTTATCTCAAAATCTTAAGTAGGCCTTTCAAAAGGAGGCCTGGTGTCATAGTGGGTTAAGCATTCAGCTTCTAACTTCAAGGTTGTGGTTCAAATTTACCGGTCAATCTGTAGGAGAAAGATGAGTCTGTCTGGTCCCTTAAAAGCTACAGCCTTGGAAACCCTTTGTAGGGTTTCTATGAATTGGAATCGACTCAGTGGAAGTGGGTTTTGCCTTTTCTACATTAAAAAATAAAAAGTCCTTATACAAGTGCTAACTAACTGGCCAGTAACAGCAGAAATGGCTGTGGGAGACTTTCTGACCCTCTTGCCTGCTCATAGTTCTCAGATTTCCAGCTCCCTTGAGTTTCCTGGGGTCACTATGTTTTTAAGGTCTGCCCTTTTTTTGTTTTTTTAAATTGAGGTGAAACTCACATACAATGAAATTAACTATCTTGAAGTATATCCTGCTGTAGTATTTAGTACATTGTCTGTTGCATAACAACACTGCTAGCTGGTGGCCAGAGTTTTCATCACCCAGAAAGGAAACCCTATACTCACTTCTCTTTTCTTCCTCTCCCCAGCCTCTGACAACACCAGTCTGCTTTCTGTCTCCATGGATTTCTCCACTCTTGACATTTCATATGAATGGAACTGCACACATCATATACTATATAGCATTTTCTGTCTGTCTTCTTTCACCACGTATTATGTGTTCAAGGTCCATCCACATTATGGCATGCATTGGACTCCCTTTTTGTGGCTGAGTAATAACATGGACCCATTTGGTTTATTCATTCTTCTATGAACCTTTAGAGTCCTGGTGTGGCATTATAGGATAAGTACTGGACTGCAAGGTCATCAGTTCAGACACACCAGCCGCTCTTCAGAAACCCTATACAGGGTTGTTATGAGTCGAACTGACTCAACAGTATTTGACAACAACGTGAAGTTTGGGGTTGTTTTCACCTTTGGGTTATTAAGCTCTGTTTTCTTGACTGCGAGGTGCCCAGAATTCATATTTAATGCCATATTGCTCCACTTTCCTTCCTCTTAGAAAGAACTGACCCTTCACGTTCCATCTGTGCATGGGGTGACCTGGCCCCAGATGGTCCTCTGCAATGGCTCTTTGATGGTTTCTCCACTGGGAGAAGCAGGATTTCTATCCCTTTTTCCATATTAAAATAAATATCCTGAGTTCCTTTGGAGTTTCCCCAAAGACAGGAGCGTGAAGAAGGCAGCTCTTCCAAGGCTCCTGTGCTCTAGGGATTACCTTGGGAGTCAGAGCTGGCCTTCTAGACATTTCCATTGGGGACGCTGGCCTTTTCCCACCATTTTCTCCAGTTACTACCACTGTTGAGCAGAGGTTCTGAACCTTTGCTGAAGGCTCCAATTCACTGCACTTGGCACTTCCTGTGGCAAGTAGAATACTCTTACCAATTTATGCCCATCCTCTTTCCCTCCATGCCCTCCAGCTCTCCCACTCTTGCCTGCATCTCTATGTAGGACTCAGATTCCTAGCTGTCAAAAAAACAGATTAGCTAGAAAAGAAGAGAATTGTATCTTGCCCCCTTTGCTGGGCATGCCAAGGAATTGGTGCTGGTCCAAGCAAGATCAAGGGGCTCTTGGAGAGATCACTCAACTCCTGGCTGTGAGAGGCCACATTCTCACCTACTTGGACCCCACCCTAGCCTCATGGGGTTGAGATGATGGCCTTCCATAGTTCTAGGCTGGTGTCAACCCAGTTTAGAAACCCCAGCCACAAGAAGGAGGCTGTCTGTTGGGTCTGATGTCAGTTTCAGGGAAGAAGCCTCATTGATCCTACTCAGAATGCAGGTGCACTACTTGAGCCCATGGTACCTGGAAGGCCAGACCTTGGTTGGGCAGGCACCTGTTCATGCGGCTTGGGTAGAGAGCTGCGTAGCCTAACAAGTGGGTCTTTCAGGTACTTTCATGTCTTGCGCGTCTTTGTGTGTTCCTACGTGTGTTGGTACATGTGTGTATGTATTGGTGTGTGTGTTGGCATACGTATGTATGTTGGGGTATTATGTATTTAGGGTATGTGTTGCTGTATGTGGTAAGGTATGCATGTGTTGGGATGTGTGTTAGAAAGTGAGTGTATTCTGTGTGTGTGTTGGGATGTGTATGTTGTGTTGGAGTGTGTATTTGTTGGGGTATGTATGTATTTTTGGTGTATGTTGGTGTGTGTGGTGGAATGTGTATATATTGGGATGTATGTGTTGGGGTATTTGTTGGTATGTGTGTGTTAGGATGTTTGTGTTGGGTTGTGTATTTATTTGCTCTTCAAAACCTAGATCTAAAAAGGGACATTCGAAGCCAACTCCCTCAACTGAAAGCTTTATCATTCTTGCTGCTTTCCTCCCTACACTTAGCCTGGTGCCCACTCACCCTTATTCCACAGTGGACACTTAAGTGTAGGTTGAATGAAGATATGAAAAGCACCCTAGATGTGTTTGTTTTTGCAACATGGACGCCCATACCCTCCAGCAAGAGGAGCCCCATTTCTATGAGGTTGTCAGTTGTAGCTTACGTGAGACTAATTCTGCAACAAATCCCATGCTGTTTTTTCCAGTAAAAATGTTGCAATGTTGAAATCCATCTGTAGTTGGTAAAAGGGCAGATTTTGAATTCATTAAAAACATTATCATAAAGGAAAAGTCAGCATCTTTAGGAAGGAAACTTCTTAGAAACAGGATCAGATGTTCTAATGTAGCATGAGTGGCTGAGCTCTGCGTTACTGCAGCAGGGGCCAGGAAAAGGCTGGAGAGGAGGACCTAATCCCACCCTGTAGTTAGGTGGGCCCACTCCTCTAGAGACCTGGCCACAGGTGCACCAGCAATGAGCTGAGGATGCGTTGGAATCTTCCAGCCAGTGACTGAGACTCACCTTCCCTGGGGTTCTGTAAATGGCTGCTGTGTCTCTTCCTTCACTTACTTGGTCCTGAAAGAATTTCTTGAGCACCTTCTATATCCCAGGTCTCTTTGCACTCTGGACAGACTATGGGGAACCACAGCCACAGTAATGAGACAGCTCCCAGTTGCAAACATGTACAGCTCTGAAGAATGCTACAAAGAGGGGTCCCTGGGATGCTGGGAGGAGATTGGACACCCAGCCTGAACTGAAGGGTGTTTTTTTTCCTGCAAAGATGGCGTTGGGATTCAACTTTAGTGCCTAGGGGAGTTAAGAAAGTTAAGAAGGTGGAGTGTCCCAGGCTGTGGGAACAACATATGCAAAGCCTTGGCCTTCCTAAGGGATTGAGGGAGGTCAGAGAAAAGTGGTGGGTGAGGCTGGGGAGGTGGCAGGGGCCAAACCACGAGGACCAGGTGGTTGTGGTAAGGGCTGTAGCCTTATCTGACTGACAATGGACAGCCAGGGAGATATTTTTGGCAAGGGAGTGGAACCATGGGACCAAGAGGGGCTGGATGTCATGGCAGCAAAGCCTCAGCTGATGGGGAGGAGGCTCAGGAGTTTTCTCTCCTTCCCTTCCTCTCCCACCACACCTACACCACCATTCTCTCAACTCC